GGGTGTGCCGAAATATGTGGCGGGGACACATGTGGACACCGCCACTAAGGCATTCGGTCGAGCTTCTTGCGCGGCCACGAATCGTGTGCGGGTTGTGCCGGCATGTGTTGCGGGAGCGCATGCGGGCTGCGCCATTGGGACGCTCGGTAGAGCTCCTATGGGGGCCACGAGACGTGTGAGGAGCGTGTCAAGATAAATGGCGAGGGCTCATGCGGGCTGCGCCACTGGGGCCTTCGGTGGGGCCCCTACGGGGCCACGAAACGTGTGAGGCGTGCATCAAAAAGAATAGCGTGGACGCATGCGGGATGCGCAACTGGGACACGTGTGAAGGGTGCCGAACGTGGTGGCGGGGACACATTAGGGCTGCGCCACTGGGACCTTCGGTGGAACTCCTATGGGGCCACGAAGCGTGTGAGGATTGTGCCGAATGGATGGCGGGGACGCATGCGGGCTGCACAAAACGGGCCTTCGGTGGGGCTCCCTATGGGGCCACGAACCGTGTGAGGGGTGTATCAGAAAAAGGGTGGCGGGCACGCATGCGGGCTGCACAACTGGGACCTTCGACAAAGCTCCTCTGCGGCCACGGCGCGTGTGAGGGGTGCGCCAAATTGAATGGCGAGGCCGCATGCGGGCTGCGCCGCTGGGACCTTCGGTGGAGCTCCCTGTGGGGCCACGAAGCGTGTGAGGGGTGTGCCAAAATGAATGACGGGGACGCATGCGGGCTCCGCCACTAGGACCTTCGGTGAAACTCCTATGGGGGCCACGAAACGTGTGAGGGTTGTGCCGAAATGGGTGGCAGGGACGCATGCGGGCTGCGCCACTGGGACCTTCGGTGGAGCTCTTATGGGGCCACGAAGCGTGTGAAAAGCATATCAAACAAATATGGCGGGGGCGCATGCGGGCTGCGCCACTGGGGCCTTCGGTGGAGTTCCTCTGGGGCCACGAAACGCGTGAGGGGTGTGCCGAAATGGGTGGCGGTGCGGGCTGCGCCACTGGGACTTTCGGTGGAGCTCCTATGAGGCCGCGAAACGTGTTAGGAGTGTGCCGAGATGGGTGGCGGGGACGCATGCGGGCTGCACCAGGGGGACCTTAGTGGAGCTTCCTACTCTGGCCACGAAACACGAGAGGGGTGTGCCAAAACGGGTTGCGGGGACGCATGCGGGCTGCGCCACGGGGACCCTCGGGGGGTCACGAAACGTGTGTGTGCGGGGTGTACCGAAAAGGAGACATGCGGAGGGGAGAGGCTCGGACGGGAGGAGGGATGGGGAGGAGGAGAGGAAGAACGCGGGGGGCTGGCTCATCAAAACGAGGACCCAACACCACGAGATGGTTTGGAAAACAAGTCCTTTTGGAAACGGGTCCTGCACCCCAGGGCCTCTCCCCAGAACGAACTTTCATCGAGAGTCTCTGTTTGACAGCCCCGGTGCCTATGGATGGCCAGGGTGGACACGAAACCTCGCCCACCCAACGACACGCCAAGCACGGTGGGCGGGACCTCCAAAAATGCTGGGGCCGGTCTTAAGCCAAGGGCGACGGAGGAGGATGCACACAAGGGAGAGGGAGGCTACGAGCTGTGAGGAAATCCGCTGTCCTAGCGAACGTTCACCTCAGACCGAGCCACCAAGACGCAGACACCCAAACACAACACCCCACGAGCAAGGCGCAGACCCGAGCGACGGCACCGCGGGCTGAGGCGGAGGGTTCAAGATCGCTCCTCGTCGTCAGAGTTCAGGACCCCCGCCCTGATAGGCACGGCTCAGGGCCGTGCCAAAGCGCAAAGGGCATCCTAATGGAGACGACGGCCCTCGCCCGGCGCAGACGCGAAGCGCAGACGCGAGATGCCCCCCAGCCCCCCCACCCCCCACCCGACGCCCCACTACGCAGGCCAGTCCGCAAGAGGCCTCCCACAAGAAGCCCAAACCTGAGACCCCAGGACGTCCCTTGATTTTTGGTGCGCAAACGTCACGCCTTCCACAGCAAAACCATCGAAGCCCAAAAAACCCAGGGCACCCGGGAGGCAAGCAGGGTGTTTCTTGGCATGGGTCTCCACTGTACGCTGTCTAGTATGCAGGGGAGAGTGCGAAGACCCAACCGCCCCTTCACGACAGTAAGACAGCGAGTCGTGCCTGCCCACCCGCCCCGAACGAAACCGAAACGCAGAAAAAACGACGTGGCGCCGAAGAGCCCGACGACCAACACGCAAGACCCACGCGCCCATGCCATGTCGAACCAAACACGCGCGGCCACTGGGGCGACGCGGGGGCTGTCCAGGTCGGGGCTTCCCTGGACAACCCCCCCTCGTCCTGGATTAGCCGTCTCGGGCGGGGTGAAAACCTCGAACACCGAACGAGATGCCAACCGACGCGCCCCGGCCGTCCGTAGACGTTGCCCACAGCCCGGCCGAGAGGCTGTGGCACTCACGGGCTTGATCCAAGGCGCTAGCCCAAACACCGTATTGCTCCTTTCCGACTCAGCGGTCTGTGGACGCGCCGTGATGGTTGGTTAGACCGCACACAGCACCCCGGCCCCAAGAGCAGGCCGTAGGCCGGTGAGGACTACGAGCGCACCCCACGACACTAGCGACATCGAAACACCAGACCACTCCATGACGCTGTGATGCGTGCCCCAAAGACCCCGAAACGCTCGAGCATACAGACTTCAACCCGCAATATTCCACTCAAGCCCAAAAGTGAGAGCCCAAAGCCCGAGAAACACGCATACACACAACATGCCGAACAAGCCACGCTTCCAACAAACGCTTGTGCCCGTACCTGCTCCCAGTCTCATGAAAATCGATCCAAGCCCAATGACCGCACGCTTGGCCAGCGGTTATTTTCAGAGGAACTTTGAGGCATCGCCGGCTCCATGCCGCAGCTCGCGCATACGGATACGATATTGCTTGAGATATCGCTGCTGCCGCATAGCGAGTAAAGGTACGCCGTGGCATATCCTACGAGGGACAGGCCGTCCGAACAGTAAGCTAGAACCCAACAATTGGGGACCGTTGCAAAACTCAGCAGCACTGAAACGCAACGCATGGGGACCGTTGCAAAACTCAGCAGCACTGAAACGCAAGGCATGGGGACCGTTGCAAATTCAGCAAATCGTCGTAATGCAAGCGTCTGTCGCTCACTCCTGCTGGCGTAGCAGCAAAAGAAACGGAAATAAAAACAATCGCGACAATGCTGGGCGCCAGTCTCTAACCCGCTAGCCCATCAGTGAAACTTACGAACTGTCACCAACAAAGAACCTCAAGCAGCTGCCCCGATGATTGCGCTGTGGGGGAACTCGTGGAAACTCGTGGACAAGCAAATGATGGGCGAGAGACTTTAATTCTTCAGCCTGGCCACTGTGCAAATCTGGATTTCGCGGATTATCCCGTCTCTTTTCAATAGCTCTCACCCGTCTTTCGCCGATCTCTGGGGCGCTAGCAAACTGGCACGCCTAGCTGCGCTGCTGATCGCAATATCACAGTGCACATGAGATTGCAGAACTGGTCGCGGCAAGCCGTTGGAAGACGCGACGCACAAGAAGGTGCGCTGCCAAAGGAGAATGCGTGAACTACCGCCACTTTGCTGTGCAAAGATCCCCCCCCTCTCCCTCTGGAATCGGGGGGTCCCCACCCCGTACCCCCCGACAGTCCCCCCCTCCTCGTCCACCCCTTCCGCTGTTCCCACCACTGTCCCCACTGTCCCCACCACTCTCCCCACTGTCCCCGCTGTCCCCACCAAGGCCCCCATCACTGTCCCACTGTTCCCACTGTCCCCGCCACTGTCCCCGCCACGGTCCCACTCTCCCCACTGCCCCCACAGTCCCCACCACTGTCCCACTGTCCCCACTATCCCCACTACTGTCCCACTGTCCCCACCGCTGTCCCACTGTGTTGTCCCACTGTCCCCACTGTCCCCGCCACTGTCCCACTGTCCCCAGTGTCCCCACCACCGTGCCCACTGTACCACTGTACCACTGTCCCATTGTCCCACTGTCCCCATTGTCTCACTATTCCCACTGTCCCATTGTCTCCACTGTCACCACTGGCCCCACTGTCCACTGCACCACTGTCCCGTTGTCCCACCGTCCCACTGTCCCCACTGTCCCACTGTCCCCACTGTCCCACTGTTCCGCCGTCCCCACTGTACCCACCACCATCCCCACCACCGCCCCCACCACTGTCCCCACCACAGTCCCCCACCCGGAGTGGGGGAGGAGGGGGAGTCGTTTGCCGGCGGCGAAGACGGGGTGGGGTGAAGGAGGGGTTCGAACCGGTATCGCCCCCCCTTTTCATGATGCACCGGGGCGGGGGGCGGGGACGGGTTTGGAACCCCCAGTTACCCCCCTCGGTTTTCGAGGGGGCGGGGCGGGTTTGAAACCCCCTCCTCCTCCTCCTCCTCCTCCTCCTCCTCTCCTCCTCCTCCTCCTCCTCCTCCTCCTCCTCCTCCACCTCCTCCTCCTCCTCCCCCCTCCCTCCTCCTCCTCCTCCTCCTCCTCCTCCTCCTCCTCCTCCCCCTCCTCCTTCTCCCCTCCTCCTCCCCAGTGCCCCCCCCCTGGGTTTCTGCCAGCAGCGGCAGAACACGCTCTCTCCGAAGTCCAGACGAGGACGTGGACGCGTGCCGATTGTGTGCAGCATCCATGCCGCCCATGGGTAGCCGAGGCCTGGGCGGCAGCACCCTCCTCCTCCCCCTCCTCGTCGTCCTCCTCGTCCTCGTCGTCGTCGTCGTCCTCCTCGTCGTCGCCGTCCTCCTCGTCGTCGTCCTCGTCGTCGTCGTCCTCGGCGTCGTCGTCGTCGTCGCCATCGTGGCCCTCCCCCCCGCCCCGCCTGCCCTTAGCACGTCTTTCCGCGGACGCGCTTGCACACTCCGGCGCCGCAGCAGTGGAGAAGGAAAGCCCAGCATAACCAGAAGCCTCGACGGTGCGCGCGAAATTCTTGGATCTGCGCTTGACCCCTCCTCCCTGGCGCGCGGAGCGCGCCAAGGGCGGCGCGGGAGGCGCCCTCAGGGGGCTCAGCGCAGATCCAAGAACTCCGCGCGGACCTGCGACATCTTCTGTTTATGTATTACTTCGTATCCGACACAAGCCGATCCGATCCGCCACCGTGCCTTCAGCACGGCGTGGAGTGACCCAAAACTCAAGAAGACGTGTGTTAGACTGGCCATCGCTCGGACGTCCATTCCCTGTGTTTTTTTTTCCGGTTTTGTGCGTGTTTTTTTCGCCAAATGATCCAGGATGCTCCTCGATGGTCCTCGCCGAAGGAAACATGCACACGTCCGAGCGACGCCAAGTAGAGGGGCTGTAGGACTCTGTGAGACAAGCCCAGACCGCACATTTGCCGCACCTCCGGAGCGCTCCCTGGGCGCTTCTGGCGTCTCCCGCGTGGGCCTCTGAGAGGCCAGCCCCGCCCGCACCGCCTCCAACACCGCCCAGCGGCCTTCCAAACCACGCTTCAGACATGCTCCATGGGCTCCTCCTCCTCCCTCCTCCTCCCTCCTCCTCCCTCCTCCCTCCTCCCTCCTCCCTCCTCCCCTCCCTCCTCCTCCCTCCTCCTTCTCCCTCCTCCTCTCCCTCCGCCTCCGCCTCCTCCTCCTCCTCCTCCTCCTCCTCCTTCTCCTCCTCCTCCTCCTCCTCCTCCTCCTCCTCCTCCCGCTTCAGACATGCTCCATGCTTCAGGAACTCCGGTCAGCCCCGTGGGACCGCTGGGCTCACCGGGAGGCTTCTTCGGCCTTCTTGGATGCCCTGGGGTTGGCCCGAGAGGCCAACATGGTTGGACCGCCAAACAAATTGTTGTCTCTAGACCTCGGACTAGGTCGGGCATGTCCCCCTGCAGGCGGATCTTGGAGGACAAATTAAAGATACCCTCCAAAAACATCAAACATAGTCAAACATTATCCTGGCGAAGGACCCAACCATATGCATTTGTAGGTACCGCAATTGTGAATATCTTCTTCGGTGAAGCTCCCTATGGGGCTACGAAGCGCTGCACTGGGTGGGGGGGAACTCGTGCGGGCGGTAGCACTGGGGCCTTCGGTGGAGCTCCCTTTGGCGCCACGAAGCGCTGTGCTGGGTGTGCGGGACGCATGCAGATGGTAGCACCCGGGCCTTCGGTGAAGCTCCCTATGGGGCCACGCAGCGCTGTACTGGGTGGGGGGGACGCATGCGGACGGTAGCTCTGGGACCTTCGGTGGGGCTCCCCATGGGGCCACGAAGCGCTGTACTGGGTGTGCGGGACGCATGCGGGCGGTAGCACTCTGGCCGTCGGTGGAGCTCCCTATGGGGCCACAAAACGCTGTACTGGGGTGAAAATGCCAAATTGGGCGTGTGGGGGACGCATGCAGGCGGTAGCACTCGGGCCGTCGGTGAAGCTCCCTATGGGGCCACACATCGCTGTACGGGGTGGGCGAAAATGCCAAATTGGGTGTGTGGGACGCATGCCGGCGGTCCGACTGGGGGGCCACGAAACGCTGTGCTGGGTGGGTGAAAATGCCACATTGGGTTTTCGGGACGCACGCGGGCGGTCCCACTGGGGGATTCGGCGGAGCTCCCTATGGGGCCACACATCGCTGTACTGGGTGGGTGAAAATGCCAAAGTGGGTGTGTGGGACGCATGCGGGCGGTCCCCCTGGGGGCTTCGGTGGAGCTCCCTATGGGGCCTCGAAGCGCTGTACTGGGTGAGTGAAAATGCCACGTGGGGTTTTCGGGACGCATGCGGACGGTGACATTGGGGCATTCGGTTGAGCTCCCTATGGGGCCACGAACCATTGTACTTGGTTAGTGAAAATGCCACATTGGTTTTCGGGACGCATGCGGGCGGTCCCACTGGGAGCTTCGGTGAAGCTCCCTATGGGGCCACACATCGCTGTACTGGGTGGGCGAAAATGCCAAACTGGGTGTGGGGGACGCATGCGGGCGGTAGCACTCGGGCCGTCGGTGGAGCTCCCTATGGGGCCTCGAAGCGCTGTACTGGGTGGGCGAAAATGCCAAATTGGGTGTGTGGGACGCATGCCGGCGGTCCCACTGGGGGCTTCGGTGGAGCTCCCTGTGGGGCCACGAAGCGCTGTGCTGGGTGGGTGACAATGCCACATTGGGTTTTCGGGACGCATGCGGGTGGTCCCACTGGGAGCTTCGGTGGAGCTCCCTATGGGGCCACACATCGCTGCACTGGGTGGGTGAAAATACAACGTGGGGTTTTCGGGACGCATGCGGGCGGTGGCACTGGGGCATTCGGTTGAGCTCCCTAAGGGGCCTCGAAGCGCTGTACTGGGTGGGTGAAAATGCCACATTGGGTTTTCGGGACGCATGCGGTCGGTCTCACTGGGGCCTTCCGTGGAGCTCCCTATGGGGCCACGAAGCGTTGTAATGGTTGAGTGAGTATGCCAAAGTTGGTGTTTCGGGGCGCATGCGGGCGGTCCCACTGGGAGCTTCGGTGGAGCTCCCGATGGTGCCACGAAGCGCTGTGCTGGGTGGGTGAAAGTGCCACATGAGGTTTCCGGGGCGCACGCGGACGGTGGCACTGGGGCATTCGGTGGAGCTCCCTATGGGGCCACGAAGCGCTCTACTGGGCATGCGGGGCTCCTGCGGACGGTCCCACTGGGGCCGTCGGTGGAGCTCCCTTATGGGGCCACGAAACGATGTACTGCGTGTGCGGGACGCATGCGGACGGTAACGCTGGGGCCGTCGGTGCGGCTTCCTATGGAGCCGCGAAAAGATGTACTGGGTGTGCGGGACGCATGCGGACGGTAACACTGGGGCCGTCGGTGGGGCTTCCTATGGGGCCACGAAACGATGTACTGGGTGTGCGGGACGCATGCAGACGGTAACGCTGGGGCCGTCGGTGGGGCTCTCTTTGGGGCCACGAAGCGCTGTACTGGGTGTGCGGGACGAATGCGGACGGTAGCGCTGGGGCCGTCGGTGGGGCTTCCTATGGGGCCACGAAACGATGCACTGGGTGTGCTGGACGCATGCGGACGGTAACACTGGGGCCGTCGGTGGGGCTTCCTATGGGGCCACGAAGCGATGTACTGGGTGTGCGGGACGCATGCGGACGGTAACACTGGGGCCGTCGGTGGGGCTCCCTTTGGCGCCACGAAGCGCTGTGCTGGGTGTGCGGGACGCATGCGGACGGTAACACTGGGGCCGTCGGTGGGGCTTCCTATGGGGCCACGAAGCGATGCACTGGGTGTGCGGGACGCATGCGGACGGTAACACTGGGGCCGTCGGTGGGGCTCCTTTTGGGGCCACGAAGCGCTGTACTGGGTGTGCGGGACGCATGCGGACGGTAGCACTGGGACCTTCGGTGGGGCTCCCCATGGGGCCACGAAGCGCTGTACTGGGTGTGCGGGACGCATGCGGACGGTAGCCCTGGGACCTTCGGTGGGGCTCCCCATGGGGCCACGAAGCGCTGTACTGGGTGTGCGGGACGCATGCGGACGGCAGTACTGGGACCTGCGGACGGGGTCCCTATGGGGCCACGAAACGTGTGAGCAGTGTGCTCTGAAACGACTGATGATGATAATGGTGACGAGAGGAGGGAGAAGGGGAGTAGGAGAGGAGAGGAACGCGGGGCACCGTCTCTTCAAAACGAGGACCCAACACCACAGGATGGTTGTGAAATGCTCAAACATCGTCCCCATAAGATTTTTGGACTACTTTGAATATTCCTCCTGTGGAGGGACAGGCCCGACTTACTCTAGACCTTGGACAAAGACCCGTCGCCCCGCCTCAAGAGGGTTCCAAGAGAGTTCCCAGAGGCCCCTGGGAGGGGCAGCCCGAACACAGCCTTCCACCCAAATACCTCCTCCTCCCCCCCCTCCTCCTTACCTTCGCCTCCTCCTCCTCCTCCTCCTTCTCCTCCTCCTCCCCCTCCTAGTCGTTGTCGATGTCTTTCAGCGTCGGCGGCACCGGCCGTCAGGCCTTCACAATATAGCCCCCGAAGACAGCCAGCATGCCCCCAAGAAGCCCCCAAAGGTTCCCCAGAAGCCCCAAGGAAAGCCCCAAGATGCTTCCATGAGACCCCCATAATCATCCAATAACCCCCCGGTTGAAGACCACGGCGCGGTGTCGGGAGGGACTGAAAGCCACTAACTCCGCCGCCACCCGTTGATTTATGACAGGCATGCCTGGCGTGCCAAAATTTTGAGTGTCTTCGTCTTGTTCTAATGGGGGGCAACGACTGGGAGGGACTGGCATACGGGGTGATGCATCGACCTGGAATCGGCGATACATCGCCGATAGATCGGCGCTAGGCCCCCGATAGCGAATCCGCACCTTCCTGGGCGGGTTGGGGCTATCGGGCCCCTATCGGCGATCAATAGGCGATTGGGGGTCGATGCATCCCGCCCTATGCCTCTCCCCCCCTATCGTTGCCCCCGGTAAAAGATCCCCACTGGGATCTCTTCCGACCGCGCCAACCACCCGGAAAGTTCAGCCGGACCACGGGGCCGTGTGTCTTTCCGCTCAAGATTTCCACCGGATGTCTTCCAAGACGGCCAGGATGACCTCCAAGATGGCCTCCAAGACGGTCCCAAGACGCCTCCAGGACGGCCCAATAGGTCCCCCAGACCAAGACGCCCCAAGAGGACTTCAAGAGGACCTCCGGTAGGCCAAACTCATTCATTTGCCTTGGTGTTTTAATTACGTTGGCGTTGTCGCTTTTCCACTTCCGACATTCCAAGCCGGCCCAGAGGCCCCCAGATTGCCCCAAGACGGCCCTCAAGAGACCCGCAAGACGGTGCAAGAGGGCCTCAAGACGAACCAAGAGGCACCCAGAACTGCCCTATCGACCTCCCGGACGGCCCTAAAGCGCTTCAAGAGGGACCCACGACTTCCCCGAGAGGACCCCAAGACAACCCCCAAGAGGTCCCAGGAGGCCCCCAGGAATCCCCAGGAGGCCCCCAAGCGGCTCCCCAGAGGCCCAAGAGGCTCCCAGGAAGCCCCCTAAGAGTCCCCAAAAGGGCCTCAAGAAGCCTTCTCTTCCTCTTCCTCTTCCTCCTTCTTCTCTTCCGTGTCCTCCTTCTCCTCTCCTCCTCCTCTCCGTTTCTCTCCCAAGGAGATCCACAACGGCTGGAAGAACGCATACGTAGTCCAATTGCTTCGCCAGACTTCGATCCAACGTTTGGCCGCATGGGCGTTTCCCAAAAAGGCAGGGGGCGGCGGCAATTCGCCGCAGGCGTCTCTGTTCCGCAGGCCCCTGAGGGGTGCCTGGCATGACACTCGTTTGACTATTTAGTCCTTTTTTGAAGTCTCGGCCCAGCCCGCTTTGGGTCGGGCGAAAGGGGGGGATAACAAAGGGGGGTTTGAGAATCAGCTCGCGTAGCTGATTTTCCCGGCGCCTCCCGGCGCCAGAGGCGGCCATGTATCGAGGAATGGGCCCCTCGGTGGGGCCGAAACAAGCTGCATGCATCAAATTTCGTAACCCCCCCTTTCCCTATCCCCCCCTTTCGTCCGGCCCGACCGCTGGCCACCCAAAGAGCCGGCCAAAATGCAGTCCACAGGTTCTCCCGCTGCAGACGGCCCCAAGATCGTCTCCGAGACGCCCTTGCTGGCCCACAGGATGCCTCCAAGACGGCCAGGATGGTTCCAAGAGAGTCCCAGACAGTGGCCCCGAATAACCTCCCAGGACGGGCCCAAAACGAATCAAGATAACCGCAAGACCAGATGAGAAACTTCCACACGAGAAAGAGGGCGGAGAAAAAGCACACACACATCATCGCTTTTCAATCTTATCCTACTGTTATTGCTCGCTCGCCTTCTCGTTCTGAAGAGCCTCCAGAACGGCCCACTAGACCTCCAAACTTGCCCAAATGTGGCGCTGAATGCGCCCCGGAAGGCCCAAATGGGGCCCGGATGGCGCAAGATAGCCTCAAGACGCCCCCAGTGGGCCCCCAGAGGGGCTCCAAACAGCCGGCGAGAGCCCAAACACTGCCCTGCAGGACCTCCAGAGCACCACCCCAAGAGATCACCAAGACGGCCTACAGGGGTCCGAGACGACCCGACGGGACCCTTGGACGGCTTCACAGTGGTCCCAAGAGATCCACCCACAAAACGGGCCCACTCGCAACACTGGCCATGTATACAAGTATGTATGTATGCATGCATGCATGCATACATGCCTGCATGCATGTATGTGTGCATGCATGCATTTATGTATGTGTGTCTGTATGTCTGTATGGCTATCTGCCTGTATGCCTGTATGTCTGTGTGTCTGTATGTCTGTAAGCCTGTATGTATGTATGTGCGTGCGCATGTATGCATGCATGCATGCATGCATGCATGCATGTCGTCTTCTTGTATACATGCCTGTATGCATGCATTTGTGTATGCAAGTATGCGTGTATGCAAGTACGTACGTATGTACGTATGTATGTGTGCATGCGTGTATGCATGTATTTGGGTTTGTATGTGTGTATGTGCATATATATATGTGTGTGCGTCGGTGTGCTTGTATGTGTGCATGCATGTCTATAACTTTGTGTATGTTTGTATGTACATATGTATGTATGTATGTATATATATACATATATATATGCATGCATGTATGAATGCATGCGTGCATGTATGCGTGGGTATGCCTGTCTGTCTGCATGTATGTATGCATGCATGCATGTATGTATGTATGCACGTACCTACGTACGTATGTATGTATGTATGTGTGCATGACTGTATGTGCATATATCTGCCTGTCCGTCTGTCTGTATACATATATCTAAATGTAGGTGTAATATATATATATATATATATGCAGCTATGTCGATATACAAGTATGTATATATGTACGTACGTATGTACATGTAAGCGTGTATGTATGTCTGCAGGTCTAGATGCATGTACATACATGTACGTATGCATGTATGCACGCACGTCTACATGTATGTAATGCATGTAAGGTATGTCGTGTGTGTATTGTCTGTATGTATGCAGGTATGTCTGCCTGCCTGTATGTATGTATGTATGTACGTATGTCTGTTTGTCTGTCTGTCTGTCTGTCTGTATGTATGTATGTATGTATGTATGTGTATGCTTGTATGTATGTATGTATGTATGTATGTATGTATGTATGTATGTATGTATGTATGTATGTATGTATGTATGTATGTATGTGTGTATACCTGTATTCATGTGTGTGCAGGTGTGCACACGCCCCATCCGCTAGCGCAATCACCCTGCCTGGCCGCCGACGCAAAAAAAGTGTGCATGTGTACGTATATACAAAAACCTATCTGACAAATTCTCAATTGCCTCAACCCGCCGACCACCCGGAAACCCAATCTCCCATAGGCTTCGCCGTCCCAGATTGTTTTATGATGGACAGGATGGCCCAATGTGACCTTCACGACGGTCCCAAGACGTCCCCCAACCGATCAAGATGGCCCAAGGCGGGCTTTGTCGGGCTTCCGACAGCCCAAGATGGCTCCAAAGGCTTCCAATATAGCCCCAGGACGGCCCGAACAGTCCCCAAGTGAGCCCCAAGATGGGCCAAGAGAGCCCAAAAACGGTCCCCAAGACGGCCCAATCATAGACCTCCGAAGCGGTATTTAAGCGCCCCAAGAGGGCGTCACGACGGCCCAGAGAGCCCCCCAAGACGGCGTTAGAGGGACCAAGAGAGCTAGGAGGCCCCAAGAAGTCCGCCCGAGAGCCCTCAAGGGGCCTCCTTCTCCTCCTCCTCGCTCTCCTCCTCTTCTCTCTTCCTCCCCGAAATGCTTCCCCCAGTGCTTTCTGGGGAACGCGTGGTCCAGCACCTTTTGGCCAGCCTCTGGCCCAGCGTTTGGCCACACCGCCGTGCGCCACAGGCGGGGGGGGCGGCGGCGCTTCGACGCAAGCGGCTTCGATATCTTTGCACACGGAACAAAGTCTACCGGGGGGGTGAGACGGCGCTCGCGTGCCCGCCCGCTTCCGTCTCGGGTCGAAGGCCCTCGGGAGCGGCGGCGCCCGGCCTCCGCTTCGGAGCGCAGCGCCCGCGCCCAGGCCACCTCCTGTTGAAGTGGCTCAGTGGTGCCCCTTTTGGCGGCTGCCGCGGTGGTCTGGATCGCGGAGGAGGAGGAGGAGGAGGAGGAGGAGGAGGAGGAGGAGTGCCCTCGAGAGCGCCCTCGAGGCTCTGCACCTGCGGCGCACGGCTCGCCGCGCCCGGCGGTGGCGCTGCACATCAGGGGAACGAGGAGCGGCATGAGCAGCACTTCTCGCAGCTCCGCGCGGGGTCTCCCGGCTCGGCGCTGGCAGCCCCCCCCCTTCCTGGCGGCGGTCGGAGAGATGAGTGCGGGCACCCGAGAAGTTTTGGAGGCCTGGACGTGGGCGCCAACACCAAGACAGGGGGTTGCCTCCACAGGGGGAAGACGATGCTGGATTTCGGTGTCGGTGGCAATATTTCGGTCACTTTGGAAGCCAGAATATTACCACCATCGCCGAGATCGGGATCTTCTTCCCTCGGTAGCTGCACACCGCCGATCTTGGTGCTGGTGTCAATCTCTGGGCCTGCGACAGTTGTGCGCATGCAATGTTTTGTTATTCGACCCGCGGCGTGCAGCTCGCCGCGCCCGGAGGTGGCGCTTCGTGCGCCAGGCTACTCATGTGTGAGATCGGCGGCGAGCGAGGGGGGAAGTGAGAAGGAGAGGGCCTTCTCAGAGGGCGGCGGGACTCTCTCAGAGGCCCCCGCGCCTTCGGAGGAGCTCCCTGCGTCTTCGGGGAAGACCTCGACAACTCCTCAGCCTTCTTCGGGGGCGCGCCAACATGGATTAGCGATCCATGGATTTGACGCGCGGTCGCCAAATCTATGGATCGGGGGAGGTGCCCTCCCCAAAATGCGGCCAGTGCCGCCTCGCTCGGCGGCGGACATCCGCGATTTCCCATGGAAACGGGACCCGTCGCTAATGCACGCCCCCTTGATCCATGTTTGCGATCGCCTGGGAGAGGGCCCGCCCCTTCTCGCTTCCCCCTATCGCTCGCCGCCGATGAGACCAAACTTCGGGATCGCAGCCCTCATAGAGCGGCACGTGTCGCTGCGGGGGCGCACCTTCGCCCGAAGCATGTCGTTGTACGTCTCGGTGGCGTGCTCGGTGCGCCGAAGGGCGAGGCAAGAGACGATCGCGTAGTGGTACGTCCAGCGATCGGGCTCGAAGCCCCGCTTCCGCATCTCGAGGGGCAGAACAAAAAACACCTACATAATCTTTCGGATGTCCGCGCAGATTTTTCGGGTCGGCGCTAGACCCCCCCCTCCCCTGGCGCGTGAAGCGCGCCAAGTGTATCACGGGAGGCGCCGTCAAAGGGGGGATCCAGCGCCGACCCAGAAAAATCCGAGCGGACCTGTGAAACTTTATGTTTGTGCAGATGTTCTGTTCCCCGAACATCGTCCCCATGAAGGTAAGGGCCGCCTCGGGCTGGTTGCTGGTCGCGCAGACTTTGACCATGATACTGTAGGACTTCCGATCGGGAACAAGCTCGCGCTCGGCCATCTGAAGGAACAGGTGACGAGCCCTCTCGTGCATGCCGAGCTGGCAGCAGGCGCCCAACACAGCATTATACGCCACCCCGTCGGGCTTCATTCCTAATCCCTCCATCTCCTCGAAAATCGTCAGTGTGAGCTCTGGGTCGGACCGCTCGAACGCCATCATAATGCAATGGTACACTATGCGGGCGATCGTGACGCCTTCACTCTTCATCTTCATGAAATCCGCCGACCCCAGCTTGCCGGGTGTGACAAGGCGTGTGAGATATTTGGCCGTCCCCCTCTTTTTCCCCCTACCCCACGGTTAAAAGTCGCGTTTGAGGGTGGGGGGTGGGGGGACGAGCTCCCAAACCATCCCAAGGCCTCCGGAGCCTCCGAATCTAGAGTCCGTGGCTTCCAAGATGCCCAAGATTCCGCCTAAGCTTGCTCAAGCTGGGCTCCAACACGCCGAAGATGCCTCAAGCCACCCTAGATAGCCTCAGGGTGGGGCAGAAAGCCTCCAAGACGCCCCACGAGGGCTCCAAAAGGACCCCCAAGAGGGTCCCGAGAGGAACAAATAATTCCAATGCATGGGGAAAACTGTCATTTTTGGCGTTTTTGCCTTTGTGGTCTCAACAGCGTCCAAGACGGCTCAGAAGGAACGCAACATCGCTCCAAAGCGGCCCACGAAGCCTCCAAGACGGCCCAGGATGGCCCCACGGCGGTCCAAGAGGCACCCATGACGGCCGAAGCGAACCCCGACAGGGCCCCATGAGGGGCCCAAGAGAAGTAACTCGAATTTACTTTTCGCACCCTCAAGAGGACCCACGAGACCGCCAGCAGGCGCCCGATTACCTCCAGAAGGCCTCCACCAGGCCCCGAAGAAGCCTTCGCACGCCTCCAGGTCCCCGAGAAACCATATCCCCATGACACCCCGCCTGACTCCGAGGGTGCCAAGAGACACCCGCCAGCTCCAAGAGGACCGCATTATGGCCCACGTTCTTGCCCGAGAGATCTGATCGTCGCGAACTCTCTCTCTCTTCTGGGGTTCGGCGGAATGGCGTAGGCGTCCTGAATAATGCAATACCTCCTCTGGAAACTGACTTTTCCAAGCAGCGGCCAAACGATTCTGGGTCGGAACTGATGGATGGAGCCCGTGAGCTCGAATCAAACGAATGAGCGCCAATCCGTCCTCCCGTAAGCGATTGACGGTCAGGTGTTCGAGAATGAGATTGAAGAATTTATCAGATATGTGTTTGCGAATACGGTGAGCATCAGGAGCCGTTCCCTTATCCAGCATATGATCGAACAACCCCAATGCTTCAGGCACGCGTCCACTTTTGAGGCAGCCAGCCATCAACTCTGAAAGTTCTGAGGCCTTGGGGGTGACGTCCTGAAACTGAGCACGGTCGATGTTACGCATGCGAGGTTTCAGAATCTGAGAACCCATGGAAACGCCTGAATCCAGAACATTGCCACGACATGCGCATGGTTTCTTGGCTGAGCCGCGTCCCTGAAGGGGGACCGTAAAACTGACCTGCTGCGCACCATCGATGGCTACCGTGTCAACCGTCCACTTCTTGGCTATCGCATCATAGAAAACGATGAATAAGGTAAGAAACACGAGCTCCAAGAGAAACTCAACCCGATGCACTGTCTCGCACACGCTGCAGGGCGGAATGATCAACACCCGGCCCAGCGCGGGTAACACAACACATACCAGTGCGAGCCGCATGGAACATCTGTGTGCAGCACTGCCGAATGAGCCACTCTGAGCAAAACTGCTGCACCTCGAAGGGGCACTGCGCACGTACACGCCGGTCGGAAGAAGTAGGTAGAAACATGAAGTAGGAAGGCGGATGTAGTTGATTGGGTCCAGGCCCCCCAGAGAACAACCAAACACAGCAAAAGCGCGCCGATTCTTGAAGTAGGAAGGCGCTTGAAGTATACTGGGATCTGGGAATCCAAAAATACCTACTTTCAGCGACCGGCGTGTATCTATCAGAGCGTGATCCTCGCCGACCCTCGCGTGTGAGATGACTGGCTGCCCGAGGGGGGGAGGAGGAGGAGGAGGAGGAGGAGGAGGAGGAGGAGGAGGAGGAGGAGGAGGAGGCGGAGGGGCGAGGTCGACGAGCTTCCTGGCGCACTTCCTGGGCCCTCCGAGCCCCCAGCTGAGAGGTCTCGGACGCCTGCGAGCTGCCCGAGGTGCCCTCCGAGGCTTCTCCAGAAGGGCCCCTGAACGGCCAACGGGGGCCCAACGACGCCTCCGAGCGGCCACGGAGCCTCCTGATGGTGCCCCCGAACACTTGATGATGATGATGATGATGATGATGATGATGATGATGATGATGATGATGATGTTGATGATGAGGAGGAGGAGGAGGAGGAGGAGGAGGAGCAACACATATTTTTGCCTTTTCGCGTCCGATGGGCTTCTGATGCCTCGAGCGGACTGCCAGATCGCCCAAGAGAGCTCCAAGAGAGAGGCCCAGCATCGCTCCAAGACGGCCACGGTGGTCCCTAAGAGCGCTCCAAGAGCGCCCCCCCGAGAGGGCACCCCCGAACCCCCAAGAGAAATTGAGAACCTCCCAAGCGGGCCCCAAGATACCTCCCATATGACTCCAACAGGCCAATCTCATGGGCCTGCAAATTCAACGTTGATGGCGTTTCTGTATTATTTTGTACGTCCCTTCTCCTGACTGCTTGCCTTCGCAACATTTCTGGATGGGCTGCTAAGGATATGGGGAAACGGAAGTATGCACGTTCGCCCATCCATGGGGTCTGCGGAATAGCGTAAGCAATCTCGAGCAATGCTGCAATGCTGTATGCGCCAAATGGCGATGTTGCAATGACTGGTGATGTGTTCGCTCATCGCTTGAGCTGCACTGCTGACTTCTTATGTGATACTTGGTGCGCTCCCGATGCACATCGGCATGAGCATGTACACATATACGCATGGCATCCAGATACACGGTTCGGGTGTCGCTAGAAGTGCCCCTGGCCTAAGGTGCCCCCCACAGCCTCCAGAGCACCCCTCACGAGGCCCAGGGGGCCCGAGGGGCTCCAAGATGAAGCGAAAAGCTGGGGGCACCTTGGGCCAAGGGCACCTTGAGCAAGCCACGAACGGTATGCATACACATCCGTCACCAGGCCGCCAGCACTGCGTGGACTGCCACCGTCCCGAGGGAGATGGCTCCTGGACCCTGGGCCTTGTGCCTGAGCCTATTTCTCTGGCAGTCCTCCTCTTCCTCCCGAGCCTGCGCTTCTGGCAGCCCAGGGTGGACCCCCCGAGCCTATCCTTCGCGCCGTCGTGGGACCCGCTCTCTTCCTCCCGAGCCTCGCTTTCGCGCAGCCGGAGGGGCCCGTGGAGGGCCCACGGGGGGGCCACGAGGGGGGGAGGAAACAGCTCCGGGACCCCTGCGCGCGGCCTTCATTGCTGGAGTGCGTTGGCTCTCTCTTTGCGGTGGGGGAGGGGAACGCGCCAGGCGCAGCGAGTGACGGCGCCGGCACCTGCCGCGCGCGCCCCGATCTCGGGAGGGGGGCGGGCAGGTCGGGGATGGCAGAAGGCAGAGGAAGAGGCAAGAGGAAGAGGCAAGAGGAGGAGGAGTGGAGGCCAACAGCAGAAGGAAGGGGAAGCGGGTGGATTCAGCGCCAGTCTCGTACCAGATCTCTCGAGCAGCGCAGGCGGCACGGCCCCTTCCCAGACAGAGGGGGGGCAGATGCTCCCTTGAGGTCAGGGGCTACGAGACATGACGTGTATGATTTGCAAGAACCAGGCGCGCTCGCGCTTCGCGCTCCGGACTGTTCAGCTAGTGTGCGCTTCTTTCTCACTATCACTCCCTCTCTCTCTCTCCCTCTCTCTCATATATATATATATATATATATATCTATATATGTAAGCACTTATCTGTGCATACATGAGCACACATATGAGACATAAGCACGAAACTCAAAACAATCCCACCAGTCCTTTAGGTCGCGAGTGCTTTCGCGGGGCTCCTCTTCCAGCCCCCCTTCTTCCCCTTCGGGGAGGGGCTTGCCCCTCCCTCCCCTACAGTCGGGGCGTTGACCTAAGGAACCCTAAATAAGGAACGAGGCCCCTTTTTCCATAAGTTAACCTTCGATTTCCTGTCGAAAACATAAGGGAAGCCTGAGGGCAAGCTGTGAAACACTTAAAGAACGCGGAGCCCCTCCCCAACGAAAAGGGTTCCTTCTTCAGGCCCCGACTGTAGACCTGGACGGTGCGCCCCGCGGGGGCGTCCAAGATGGCCTCGGCGAGATGGCCAACACCATGGACGTTACTAAGGTTCTGCCCCACTGTTGGCCTCCTTGGGGGCGGCACCCGCCCCCAAGGTCGTCCTCAGATGCCAAGGATGGCCTCAAGACGGCCAAAGAGGCGCCCAAGGCGCCCCGAGAGTGCTCCAGGAAGTCCCTCAAGAGGGCTCCGCGAGGTAAGTATCAATGTGCTTCAAGATCTTTCCAATGATTTCAGTAAACTCGCCTGTTCGGGCTTCCGACGCTCCAAGACGGCCCCGTTAGCCCCCAAGACCGCCCTTAGACTGCCCAAGACGCCCCCAAGAGACCTGATCCCTCTCACGGCTGCAAGTTGTTCTTGTGACTTGAGGGGGGTGCTTTTCCCGGCAAGCGGTGTCCCCATCCATTGGCCCCTGGGAGAGGCCTCCGCAGGCCTCCGGAAGAACACAAGAGGAAGACACATCTTCACAAACAACTGCATTACCGAGTGCCCCTCCCGTCACGCCTCCCCAATGGCCACAGCCCCTCTGGGGGAACGAGAAGATATCGATACAGCTACTCTCGGGACATCTGCTGTGATGCGTTCTGACCAAGGTTCCTAAGCGAACCCAGCCCTGGCGACGAGGGACAAGCAGCGGTATTGGTATCACTTCTTCCTCTGCTACTCTTCCCTTCCTCCTCCTCCTCCTCCTCCTCATCAGTATCATCATCATCATCATCATCATCATCATCATCATCATCATCATCATCATCAGCATCATCATCACCATCATCAGCATCATCATCATCATCACCATCCTCATCCTCCCCCTCCCCCTCCTCCTTATCATCATCATCACCATCATCTTTATCATCATCATCAACATCATCATCATCATCATCATCATCATCATCATCATCATCATCATCATCATCATCATCATCATCATCATCATCATCATCATCATCATCTTCATCATCATCATAGTCGTCATCGTCATC